GCCACTTCCACCGTCGCTTCCTTCAAGGCCTTCCACATTTCGGTTGCTGTCTCTCTCTTCTCTCTCTTCAGTCTCTCTCCCACTTGATCTTCTGCAGCTTCTTTCCTGTTGTTTCTCCTTTCCTTTTATTAGAGAACGTCCCATCCATGACCAGCGGTCTGTGTTGGTGAGCAACTGCCTCACCAGGGATCACTTTTGCATCTCTCACATTTTTACGGGTTCTCTTCCTCACCACTAGGAAATCGATCTGGGAACTGCTATATCCACTTCGGTATGTTGTTAGATGTTCATCTCTCTTCTTAAATCCGGTGTTTACCAAGACTACTTCCAAGCTCTCCAATGTCATTAGCATTTTCTCTCCTTCCTTATTTCTCAGGCCGTATCCAAAACCGCCATGACATGCTTCATAACCTCCTGCTGTTTCTCCTACATGACAGTTCAGATCAGCTCCTAGGATGATTTCTTCTTCCTCAGGGATCTCTCTAACACTGTTTAAGTTGTTCTCTGAACTCTTCCTTCTCTTGATCTTCACAGCCAATCTGAGGAGCATAACCACTCACGATGTTGATCCGACTCTTTCCTGTTAGCACCTTAATTGTCATCAACCTATCTGAGGGCCTTTGGACTTCCACTACCCTTTGCTTGAGCTCTTCATCGAGGATGATACCCACACCGTTTCTTCCCGTTCTGCTTCCGGAGTAGTACAGCTTATAACCTTCTCCGATCTCCCTTACTCCGCCACCCCTCCACCTTACTTCTTGCACACAGAGTATTTTCACTTTTCTCTGCCTCATGGTCTCTGCTATCTCCTTGCTTCTTCCAGTCATTGTGCCGATGTTCCAAGTGGCACATCTCCACTCTCCAACTCGCTTCTTTAACCGTCGTCGCTGGGCCGACGGTAAGCGTTGCATATTTTTCACACCGTCCCGGGGCTGTCGGTGCGCGTCGTATACGGAGGACGCCCTAGCATTTACCGAGGCTAGCAGTACGTGGTTTCGATCCATGTTTTTCGTAGAGTGTTTTTACGCTCGGCTTACGAGGCCTGACAACAACCCTCCTCCTTTCTCAACCTGGGCTTGGGACCGGCTATGGCGGAGTTGAGATACCATCATCTCTGATCCTCTCCAAATCGCTAATGAACTGGGTGACTATTTCAGCCAGGTCAGCAGTGGTTTTCACCTTTCTCCCCACTTCTTTCCTATTAAGACCATCACGAAGCAGATTCCCATTATCTTCACCCTATCCTATAAGTCCTATAATGCTCCTTTTTCTTCCTCTGACCTCAATGCTGCTTAACAGTTGTGTCGTAACACTCATGAAGGCCCTGACGGCATTCACTACCTCCAACACCTTCCATCTTCCTCTCTATCCTTCTTATTAATAATTTCAACCACATATGGACATCAGGAAATTTTCTTTTTCATTGATTAGCTCTTATCCTCGCCTTCCTGAAACCTATTAACCCTTTCCCTGTCACCCCTCCAGAGGCGAACATTTCTCTAGCTGTCACAGGTCTTTGATATATATATATATTTTTAAATTGTAGAATTTACGTTAATTTGAGTAGCCAGATTTACTAAGGAAGGGTTAGAGAATACGCTAGAATAAAATATTTTAGATACATTTTCATTATACGTTCTTAACATAAATATTGGAATTACTCATATGTCAGGCAGGGGGGAGCCGGCAGCGAGTAAGCATAATCTTGGGCTTGAAGACAGTGATGGCAAGGTGTGAATCCCCAACCCAACAGACATAACTCGGCCTGTCAATCATCCGATAGAGTCACATGATCTGACCCGGTACTTCTGTCAAAGGACCTTCCTGATTTTTTTTTTCTGGATAAAACATTGAAAGAGTAAAATAAAATATTCTAAATATGCGATGGGACCATAATGATCTTCTAGTGTTTTGCATATATACATTATCTATTCTTTTATAAGTAAACAACACACACACACACATACATACACACATACACCAACACACACACATACACCAACACACACACATACACACATACACCAACACACACACACACACACATACACCAACACACACACACACACACATACATACACACATACACCAACACCAACACACACACACACATACACCAACACACACACACATACACCAACACACACACACATACACCAACACACACACATACACCAACACACACACACACACATACACACAACATACTCACACACACCAACACACACACACACACACACACACACCAGCAAACACATACACATACACCAACACACACACTAACACACATACACACCAACACACACACACACCAACACACACACACCAACACACACCAACACACACATACACACACACGCATAAATACACACACATACATACACACATACACATACACCACACACACACACACCACACACCACACACACACACACACACACACACACCACACACACACACACACACACATAATGCATACACACGCATACACACATACACCCCCCAACCAACACACACACACACCAACACACACACACACACCAACACACACACACACACCAACACACACACACACCAACACACATACACACACACATACACACCCATACACACACACTCTAACACACGCACACCAACACACACACACACCAACATACGCACACACACATACACACACACATACACACACACACACACACATGCACACACAAAGCTCACACACATTTCACTGCGATGAGTTAGTAATGAATAGGGTCTTTGAGAAACTACATTGATAAATTAATTTGCAGTAATAAATTAATTTCGGTGAACATTGAAGCATAATAAGAATCAGCGTATGGATGGCATTATTTGTTAAAAAAAACATTAAAAGGTAAATCATAAAACGCAGTAAGCTGCAAAGAATAATGGATGGCTTGTATTTAGTGCAGAATATGGTGATGGCTGGGCAAGGATGGATAGTGACAGCTACAGT